CGCCACTGTACTCCAGCCTGGGCAACAAGAGTGAAACTCTGTCTCAAAAAAAAAAAAAAAAAAAAAAAAAGGAAAATGCATTATTACTTATTCTCTCCTGAAGAAATGACTAGAAAAGACCAAAGTTGGCAGAGGAAGTACTTGCCAAAATTGCTGGAGATGGGCAGTTGTTCCCTATTTAGATAAATAGTTTATAAATATCACTTTAAAAACAAAAGCCCATTCACATCACACAAGATCAAAATGTTAGAGTGTTTCATTTTCTTTGCCAGAAAGCTAAGACATTTAGAAAAGTATTAACTATCATAGGAATCATATGGCACAATGTTTTATCAAACAAGTCTGATGAGCTTCTTTTTTAAAATGTTGCTTAAGGCTGGGCGCAGTGGCTCACACCTGTAATCCCAGCACTTTGGGAGGCTAAGGTGGGTAGATCACTTGACATCAGAAGTTTGAGACCATTCTGGCCAATATGGCAAAATTCTGTCTCTACTAAAAATACAAAAATGAGATGGGCATGGTGGTACATGCCTATAATCCCAGCTACTCGGGAGGCTGAGGCAGGAGAATCGCTTAAACCTGGGAGACAGAGGTTGCAGTGAGCTGAGATCACACCACTTCATTCCAGCCTGGGTGACAGAGTGAGACTCTATCTCAAAAATAAAAATAAAAATAAAATGTTGCTTATATCTAAGAACTGACTAGTATATCAAGCACTTGCCAGATTCTTAATTGTAGAGTGTGACAACACAATATCTGAAAATTAAAATAAAATTTTTTACTTGATCTTTTTTCAACTCTTCTCTATTAAAAACTGAAATTCTTCTAAATTCAGATTTCAAGAGTCATTTTCCTGCTAGAGCTGCTTACCAAGTTGCTGCTTTGCCCAAAGTAAGTATATTTTACATGACTAATGTACACAGTTTTCAATTTCTACGGTGTTTTCTGACTATAAGTAGACTAAGCACTGTGAAAGGAAACTTAAAAGAAGTAGCCTGGGCCAGGTGGCTTACCCCTGTAATCCCAGTGCTTTGAGAGGCAAACACAGGAGGATCACTTGAGACCAGGAGTTCTAGACCAGCCTGGGCAACATAGCGAGACTGCCATCTCTACAAAAAAAAAAATTTCATTTAGCCAGGCATGGTGGTGGACACCTGAACTCACAGCTACTTGGGAGGTTGAGGTGGGAGTAACACTTGAAGGTTGCAATGAGCTATAATCAAGCCACTGTGCTCCAGCCTGGGTAACAGTGAGACCTTGCCTCAAAAAAAAAAAAGAAAGAAAGAAAGAAAGAGAAAGAAATAGACCCTGCTTCCCAAGACTTAAAGTCTGAAAGGAAATACCCCATATTACATGCATGAAAAAAAATTAAGAAACCTTTTAAGACAACACATGAACATAGAATCAGAATAGCAGCTGTGTTGTTGTAATGTTACTTAGAGGACTATAAATTTGAGCCAGGTTTGTTTGTGACTTCTGCAGTAAAAATTTCACCTGGCTGTTGTATAATTAAAAATCTAAACCTTCCACTAGAAAAATAATCTGTAAACCAGGGGCACACATATTTCTCACTGCCTTGATTTTGGTACTCTAACTCGAAGCTTAAGGCAGCACAATATTCTTGCATATAGAAAAGCGGCTCCTACTGACTCCCACTTGCAGTTTCTACTAAAGAAAATTTATTTCCTAAGAGTGTCATTTGTATTGCTTTAATTAACTGTTACTTGGAATGATCATTATCAAACCTATTAAGATACTGGGTATAGTAGAAAGAGCTCTAACTTGGAATCACAAGACAAGGGTTCGACCTCTGCTGTCTAGCCTATGACTTGGGATGAGTTAATTACTCCTTCTGCACTTTAGCATATCATTCTGTTTGAGGGGAAAACATCTCTCTAATAGGGCTGCTGTGAGAATCATAGGCACTAAAACTATATATGATATGCCTAGCATGGTTACCTGGTCCGTTATAGGTTGTTAGTGAATATTTCTTTCTCCTTTCCTTCTTTGAAAAGTTTAATGTTAAAAATGTTACATTGCCGGGCCGGGCGCCGTGGCTCAAGCCTGTAATCCCAGCACTTTGGGAGGCCGAGGCGGG